TAGTCAAACAATTAAAAAAAATGTAGACAAAACTTAATCCTTGAGGTAATTATAATCGTTATGTATGGACCTGAGGACAAAACAGAGAAAAATACCTCGTTTTTTGAAAAATACCCGGCTACGTGTGAACAAAATCTTAAACATAGCCAGAACCTGCGCATTGCAAAGTTAAATAATTCCTATTTTCGTATCGTTAATATGGAGAAAGGATTTTGATGGAAATATGATTAAAAGAAGCCTTAATCAAACAATTAAAAAAAAATGTAGACAAAACTTAATCCTTGAGGTAATTATAACCGGCTAGCACAGCTAGAGTCCACATATTTATGAAACTGTAGGATTACTATTTTGGTATTTTTCATGGGAAAAAAATTTGACGGAAATATGATTAAAAGAAGCCTTAATCAAATAATTGAAAAAATGCCGACAAAATGGAGTCGTTGGGACATTATAAAAACTCAAGCACTGCAGATCATATGCATTAATTCGACAAACGTTTTGCAGCCAGAGATAGAAAAAAAGAACCAAGGAAGAAAATGGTTTCTATTGAGAAGCACAGATGCTTTTGCAAAAACGGCGGTCTGAAACGTTTTACTTCCAACGAGGGCCGCGTCTTCTTAAAGTGCGCCAAAGAAAAATGTAATTTATTCACGCCCAAAGAAAAGTACTTGCAGCTTATAGACGTGTACGATAAGAATGTGCTGAAGGAATTCAAGCCGAACCGTTTTCCACTCTGCGAGTGCCATGTGTTTGCATGTCTGTGGGTATCGAACTCGGCCAACAATCCTGGCAGACCCTACTTTCGTTGCAAGTATATGGCAAGTGAAAAGAAATGTTCACTCTTTCATTGGGCTGACGAATCCATGAAAGGCATTGGAAAAACTAAAAAACCATCAGCGCCCAAAAGAGAGTCGAGCACTAAGGTAACAAAAGCTGAAGAATCAAAGCGCTCCAAAATAATTGTGGAAAATTCATCCGATGATGAAGAAAACTGATGTCCAAAGACATAGTTTACAAACTTTAAAACTTTAAATTCCATATAATCTTGATGTGTTTACAATATAATCTATGTATGAATTTAAATTTCAAAACTATTTTTTTGCTTATTACATCATGACATGCGCAATGACGATCTCTGTAGGGGGTAAAGTACTATAAGAGAAGGGCTAGGTTGGATCTATTTTATATCAGGTCAGCTTTACCAAGAGTGATCAATAGTAGTTTCTTAATTTGTTTTGATATGGATTCATATGACCTGCGTTTGAAGAAACGTGCTGAGCGTAAAAATGCGAAAGCAAGACGTCTTATAAGAAAAATCCAGAAAGAATTGGTTAAGCCAATATCGGACTTACGCAAAGTCTTACGTTGGCAAGGAAAAACTGCCAAGCTACTAGAACAAACGTTCAAGCTGCTGAAAAAAATAGATGAACGTTTGGCTTATCTCTCCGAAGACACAATACACTTCAATATGGAGAAGATATCCGAAAAACACGTGAAAAAGTTTGGTGCATCAGCGTGTGTTTTCAGGGCTACGATGGAAAGACCTAGAGATGATAAAGTGTACAAGATTATGGATATTGTTAATGAATTACACGAACTTTTTGCAAATACAATTGATCAGGTAAAAAAAATACTTCTCTATTTTCATGCTTTTCCCTCACATAGCTTAAATCAAGAAAATGTTCTTTTTTTTCCACGCAGGTAAAGAAGGCGTGTGATTTAGTCACACCTCTAGAAGACAGAATGCGAATCATGATCCGCTCGAGTGAACTCAAGTCCCCCATAAGCACGCAACTGTTGCCTGCAATTCAAATGACTTCAAACCGGGTGATGTCCGAAATAACGAAAGTTTTGCAGAGTAATGAAAACATCCCTTTGGACCAGTTGTTTACTGTTGATGTTGTTGCTGTAAGACAGCCGACAGGGTCCGGTAAAAAACATTCTACTTCATTAAAAGTCTTAGATTATAGCAAAGACAGCCTAGTTAAAAAGTCAATTATTACTATACGAAATATGGATAATTTCTGCTGTGCTCGCGCTCTTGTTGTTGCAAAGGCCATAGCGGACAAGAATCCAAAACTCAAACAATTTAAGCAGGGTAAAGCTATTCAGAAGCGAGAAGCTTTGAAATTATACAAGAAGGCCAATATTTCCCATGGACCTTGTGGATTACGGGAGTTGTCGAAGTTTCAAGGGGTTCTATTAGATTATCAAATTCAGGTTATTGATTTTAATGCTCGAAATACAGTCATTTACGAGGGACCCCGCCAAAATAAGAAGCTTATTTTATACAAACAAGGTGATCATTACAATGTTATTAACCCTGCGAAACTTCCGGCTTTCCACGGTGAACGTTTCTACTGTGACAAATGCTTTCAGTTCTTCAAAAATGGTTTAAATCACCCTTGTTATAATGTCTGTAAAACGTGCAGACAAAAAGACTGCGTTGAGATTTCAGATGAAAAACATATGTGTTCGGATTGTTTCAAGATTTGTCGCTCTACTGCATGTTTTAATCGTCATAAAAATCGCGTCGGTCCAAAGGGTTGACTTGCCATCAATGTGTGACAAGTCGTTTCGATGTCAAATGTGTTCATCTATAGTTGACAAAGACAGACAAAACGAACATCGCTGTGGGGAAACTGTATGTCATATATGCAATAAGTTTGTACTTGATGATCATTTATGTTTCATGCAAACGGAAAACCCAAAACCCAAGAATGATAGTCTAATATTTTACGATTTTGAGACAAATTTTTCAACCGGAGAACATGTGGTTAATTTTGCTGTTGCACAATATTTAAACGGTACAGAATTTGTTTTCAAGGGTTACAACGCATTGAACGAGTTTTGTTCCTTCTTATTTTCAAGAGAACATAAAGGTTTTACAGCAATTGCCCATAATGCTAAGGCATTTGACGGTGTTTTCATTCAGAGATGGTTAATTGAATACAGACCGACTGCTGATATACATGTTATAAATTCGGGACAGAAAATTATGCAACTGACAGTGAAAGAGGGTGTAGATAAAAAGCGGGCGCGGACGGCAGACGCGGACGGCGGACGCAGATGTAAGACGAACGTCTGTTTGTTGTGGGCGGGAACTGCAAATGATTTATTGTAGGAGTTTGACAGTAATTTAAACGAGCTTTAACTTTCAGGATATATTTTTTGACCTCATTGTTTAAAGCAATTAAACATGCAAATTTCAATTTCAGTCAGTCATATAGAGTGTAACGCAATGAAACCTCATTGTATTTTTTTCGTGTTTTGTCAATGGCATTTCACTCATGTTGGCCTTACGTGAGTGAGCCTTGCTTTTCCAATTTTAAAAAAAGTCAATCTTATATTACTCAAATCATACGATAAAGAAAATATGTATTAATTGAAACCATAAGTAAGTAAAAGCTTTGCATGCACTTATGCAAAGAATGTCCTACAGGTAATTTTAAAGATAAGATAAGAATATTTGTTGAGGTCCCACTTCTCTGCTGGTCCACATTTCTTTAACACAATTCGTTTTAACTTTAAGTCACTGAGGTAATTCTATGTGATAGAAATAATTACTTGCATCCTTAGATACGAACGGTAGTTATATTGAAAAACATGAGTCCATCCTTCTTTTATAGATGAATCGCTAGCGTTATAGTTTCTCACGCATTGCAAAAAGAAAGATTCAAGCAAATAAACAAAGAGCTTGTATTTAGCTCTTTAGAAAGATTAACGGAAAACTAACCTAGCGACGATATTTCTATTGCTATGTTTTGACTTGTCGGCTAGAGCCTGCGTCAGATTTCTGCCGTTTGTCAAATTTCAGAGAAGTGGGACCTCAACAAATATTCTTGTCTTATCTTTAAAAAGGAAATTACCTGTAGGACATTCTTTGCATAAGTGCATGCAAAGCTTTTACTTACTTATGGTTTCAATTAAAACATATTTTCTTTATCGTATGATTTGAGTAATATAAGATTGACTTTTTTTAAAATTGGAAAAGCATGGCTCACACACGTAAGGCCAACATGAGTGAAATGCCATTGACAAAACACGAAAAAAATACAATGAGGTTTCATTGCGTTACACTCTATATGACTGACTGAAATTGAAATATGCATGTTTAATTGCTTTAAATAATGAAGTCAAAAAATATATCCTGAAAGATAAAGCTCGTTTAAATTACTGTCAAACTCCTACAATAAATCATTTGCAATTCCCGCCCACAACAAACAGACGTTCGTTACAAACAGACGTTCGTCTTACTTCTTCGTCCGCCGTCCGCGTCCGCGTCCGTCGTCCGCGCCCGCTTTTTATCTACACCCATTTTTAGAGCCCGACTAGATGTTGCGAAACAGCGCATTTGAGTTCGCTCAGTTGCTGTCAACCAATCAGATTGCAGATAATCCCACTATAGATTTTACTATTTGGTCGGGCTGAATTTTCAGAGCCCGACTAAACTGCGTAATGCCTGGCACTAGAAATGCACTAGTCATTGTTGCTAAGTAACGTTTAAAAATATGATAATTTTGCTAATAACGACGCAATTTGACAAATATTACACTAATAGACTGTGGATTATTCCAAAAAGAGTCGCAGAATTTAAAATTTTCGCAAATCCAACTTTAAAGAAAACAAATTTTTCATTTTTGGGAAAATATTTGGTGGGGCTGGGCCCGACCAGCCAGATCGCTAGCTACTCCACTGGTTTACCGTAGCAGCGTGACTACTAAGACCAGAATGCACAGCGCGCATTTTCATTAAAAATTAATAAGGCATATGGTCTATTGGTGCGAAGACATCAATTTTCAATGTTTACAACTTTAGAAATAGAAAAGAGTTTAGAGAAGATAGTTGTAATATTTCTTCGTTATTTCCTCAATTACATCATCATTAAGTTCATGTTGTGCTTTGTTTCAATTCGTCATTTGACCTGAGAAAAAAGATTCCGTTGGCTTGCCAGTCTTATAAAATAGTTTTTGTAGTGGTCTTGTCCTTGGTCAATCATATCGGTGAACACCAATGTCGATTTTAATTGTTATATTCCTTTATCCTTAAATCTAATTACCAAAATTATAACCATGCCAATGGAAAGAGTTTATTACAAATGTTACATAATGCATTACTTAATAATGAAGAGTGTTTTTATTTTACATCTATAAAAACATTTCTCAAACATAATTTTCAGTCAGTAAAATGTTTATATATTGATTCGTGTTATTTCAATTGAAAAAGGTTTTGAGTTCTGGTTTGTTTTTCCATTCATTATTTGATCTGACAGCCGCATGCACCAAAACAGGAAGACTTGGAAATGTTTCAAGAAAGTAATCCTTTGGATCGCCAATCTTTTCAAGTGGTTCAGGTTGTGGTGTTGGCCGTGGTTTATCATACCAATGCAGGCAACAATTTCGAATAAATCTTAAGCAATCTGTCCATGAAGGCCCATATTTAACAATCTTCCCACTCACCTTATCCGTACAAAAATAATCATAGGCATCATGATGTATTCGACTTTTCCAATCGGAGGGTTCGCTATTCAATTGTTGAACGACACTTGAATTGACATCATTTATTTTAATCGGTCGTTGGTTCCCAACTTTACATAACATTTCAAATTTTTCGTCATCTGACATTAGAAAAGGATGTTTCATTGCTTTGTTGGCTGATGGCCTGTCTTCAGGTTTTAGCTGTAGCATCCACGATAAAAGGTCTTTGAGCGTGGCATCCTCGATTTCGTCCAAGCCAACTGGGTTTCCTTTCAAAATGTTGTCCAGTCTAAGCCGTTCATCTCCAAAAGGATGTTTTCCCTTTGTTGCAACGTAATAAGCCACCATTCCGGCATTCTATTTTCAATAAAAAATGGAGTTCATTTATTTGTTAGTTGCAGAAAATACAAGTTCAGTTCGAAAAAAATCAGAATAATTTTCTCCAATTAATAATCGTAGCCATAAATTTCTTAGAGCAATCTAAATGAGAGACATACAATCGTAAAACCAACAAGGCAATAGCAACAATTCATTATCACACATATACATATTTTTATATTTTATACAGTACAATTTGTATTTCGCCACTTTATGACTGTACAATGGAGGTAAAAAAATTGTATTTAAAATCATTATCACTACCAAATACAACATTCAAATGCAAACACAACATTGAGCTGTAGTTGGACGTCTAGTTATACTTCAAGAACCTACCATAATGTCAGACTCTTTTTTGTAACGAACTTTATCAATTGATGCATCTGATACGTCATATGACTCTGGAGCTATCCAATTTTTAGCTCCTCTTTGTATGCTCCGATGTGTCGAAGTTTCATCAGATAACATATGACTTATACCAAAGTCAGCAATTAAAAAATTTCCATCCACATCTCGAAGAACGTTCGAGGGTCTCAAATCCCGATGAAGAATAGGACGCTGACCGCTGTGAAGATCTGCTAAACCTTTTAAAATCTGCTTAAGAATTTTAGGAAGTGCTTTTTGAAGATATTGCAAAGTAGAAGATTTCACAAAACTTTCTAACGATTCCTCACACAAATCTAGTATCAAATACAAATAATCTGTGCCTGGTTCTTCTTCAAGATACCAATAATTCACAACATAATTTGAACGCTTGGCATTCAACTCATTCAAAATATCTTTTTCTCGTTCTGCTAACTCCGCACAGTTATCTCGAAGCAATCGTTTTACTGCTTTTCCATAACCATCTTTTCCGAGTCCAAGGTAAACACGAGTTCCATCACTTCCCTTACCAAGCAAAAACTCTTCAGAACAAATAACCTTTACACCATTTACAAGTTTAACTTTTCTTGGATTTTTATGCCCATATTCCTCCATCATTCTGAACTTTTGCTGGTGCATTATTGATTTATCATAACATTTCCATGGTTGAGACAGCAATTCTTGAATTAAAAAGTAAAGTAGACTATTTAAAAAGGAATAAATCAATGTATCAAGAAGCAATTTAATTTTCTAATTATACGCACATCAAGAAAATGTGGCTATTAGACAAGATTTGAAATACCTACACCGCTTTGAACGTTAATGTGAACTGAATTTTATATTTAGCTACTAAATAATAGCATAAAAACAGAACAACGTGTTTGCCTTGTTTTGAGCTTATTTGTATTAACAGCGTATTTCCCTGCTCCCAAACACACGGATGAGGGATATTTAGTTCAAAGGACGTTGAGGGACGTCAGGATCTTTTCACTTTAAATGCGGAAACATTGAGATTGAAAAATCAAAGATGAAAGCATCTGTCGAGGTGAAAAGAGTTCGGAGAATTAAAGAATCTAATGTTTTTAAGGTTACCTTCTGAAAAGCTTGAGTTTTTGACCAGACTTTCTGAGAAGTTGTGGCTTGGATCCATTTGAATGGCAAAATTGTTACAACTAAAAAATCCATACAAATAAAAATTTACTAATCAAAGACGGTACGATAATTGTATGCGATGTTTTAAAAGCTACATCATGAAACAGTCATTATATTCACCACGTGTTTAATGTATACATGGCTCATTAAAATATACAATTTGAAATATTAAACATCACTTCTGTCTTTAATGATGCAAATAGCTTTATAGAAATGTCCAGTCTTTAATTCAGGAAGAAATAATCTCATTAATGAAAAGTGCCATACATAAATTCAAGAAAAAAACCTGCGGTAGTTCTATTAAATTATTGGTTGAACTGAGTGTGTGGAAGTCAGTGAAATGAACTTCTATAAAGATGTGTGTGGAATGCATATACAAGAATTTTGTACTGTACGATGTAGTCAGCGCTGCTCATGATCAAACGTGGTAGCTAAGAAATACAAAAGGTATACTTTTGAACATGTTTTAAACATGTCAAAATAAAGACATCTTATATTGAAACAGTATATAAAATAATTTTTGACCAAAAACGAAGCATCATAAAAATAATTAAATTTAGTGTATCTTAATCTTTTTGGTTTTGACAATTTTATTTCTTTGTTTTTGCTTTCGTTTTATTAAAATCCTGTTTTTGCTTTCATTTTATAAAAAACAAGATAAATTTCCAAAAAAATTTCTTATCAAAGCGCTTGGACATTTAATCATCATTATGACAGAAAGAAAAGCAACTTGTTTTTCCTTGGATAGGAAAATAATAATTTCTAAAAAATATAATTTAAGATGTTAGATACAGGTATCAGCAATAACGATTAAATTTAAGACAGGCTAAGCTTTTGAAAACTGCATTGCAATCTATTTATCTATATTTAATAACACTTGAAATAATTGATTACGACATATATATTATTCACATCGTATTCATATTGCAAACAAATTCGAACGAGAGAGAACAAGTCATTTTAATATTCTCATCATTCTTCAATTTTCCCTTTTGTGTTTGCTTAGCATGGTGCATTTAATGAACCGGTAACTTTGAATATTTTCACTTTTCAAAGATAAGTTATACGAAATTTTTATCGGCAATCTTTCAGTAATATTTATTTCAGTTATGATGTACTTAACATTCACAGTTTTTTCCTCTGAAACATTAAACAGACGAAAAAATGGAAACGATAAACTTGAATATCGTATTTATTGAAATGCTGCATAATAATCCATGTAATTTCAGTTTTACAGAGTTTTCTAGCGATTACCAGTTTTCAACCAAATCATCATGAAGTACCAACGGAAATTTGTCAAGATCTGAATGATAAGCTGATGAAAATAGTTTAAACAACGCCAACAGCAATCTTCCTATGAATTTTGTTTTTTATTGAAAAATTTGCTTGCGTGTCCATTCCCGCCTACGTAGTTCAAGTCTCTTGACTCATGAACAAAATAAATATTTAATATACACGCTAACAAAGTTGCCCAAATAATAAGAACTTTAAAATAGTCTTGTTGTAACGCTATTTTATAAGAATAACGATATATTAGTGAGTAACAATCGAACATCCCAGCCCAATGGTATGGAATTGTTCTAGTACTTGCTGTCTGACTGATTTTTTTCTAATTTTTAAGCTAATTGTAAAAATCTATACCTTTAAAAATATAATCTTAGACATGGAGAATTAAAAAGAGACTAAAACTACATATAAATTCAAACTTGTGACCTTTAAGTCAAACGTCTGACGCAATGGAATTTGAACATTGTCATTACATATACTGAAAGAATTCGCAAATTTTTATGGCAAAGCGTACCAGTGTTAATCATAAAGAGAATACGATACAAATAAAACTTACAATAATTTCAGTGCTTGTTCCACTACTTAAACGTTTTTGCTTCGTCTGATGAGAATCAACTATCAAAATAATACGAATGATTTGTTTTGCATCGCGTATGTAAATAATCTTTTAACAATGGAAGCATTTCCAAAGATCACAGCTGGAAAAAACTATACTTTCCCTTAGGGAGGGGGTGGGTGGAGAGAAAATAAAATTTGTGAATATTGAATTTGGAAATGTTTTATTTAAATTTTATATGCGCATGCAATTGAGCATGTTTTCTATCGTAAAGATAAAATTTGTTATTACGGATTATAAAATTAATCTATATGAATATGCCCCCACCCCCAATTATTGTTCTGGCTACGTGTATGATCCTGTGTTAATAAATAATATACAAGTCTTACCGTCCGTAACACGAGTAGTGCATGTGCATAAAAAGACGTATAAGTTACTTAGAGAATTTACTCAAAAGAGTGTTAATAAAGAAGTGTAAATAAGAAAATTACTGAATTATTGTAAGCGGGTTGTAAAGAAAATATAAAGTGAAATTGGGTCTACAGCAGCTTGCTAGTGGCATTTGCTCCGTACGTTACAGTTACTACACGTTTTCGTTCATCCAGAGAATGGGAAAATGGAGTAGCCATTGTGGCATGTGGGTGATTAATCTGACCAGCGTTCTTGACATGAACATGGCTGTTTACTTGCATGTTTTATCGTGCGTGTTAAATTAACTAAATTCAAATTCTAATTATAGTCCGGTTGCCAAATGCCACTTAAAAACAGAACGTCGCTGTGAAGGACCCCAAACAGGTTTTTGCATTTCTTGTATCTTTACAAAATATAAAATTCATAATTTTAAGAGTGTCCCCTTGGCACCCTTGGTGAAAATCTAATTTACGAGCTCATATATTGGCTGACACATTCTATTTCTAGATTTCAGCCATCCGAACTGTCTCACCTCCGCTTTTTAGCACATGTTTAAATAAATTATGAAAATAATACATACTGATACAGGCATGCTATGTTGTAGAAATGTAGATACAAAATGAGTTACAAAGATCATATAAAGCAAAGAGGAATCTAAAATTTTATTATTTGGCTGTTATTGAACATTTCCACTGACTGAATAAAAAATGCTGTGAACGAGAGATTGTCGGGTTTTGTGGTGATTTTGACAAAGGCCATATGAACATTTTCTAAATTACTGTAATTTAACCCGATAACAAAAACATATTTTACTATTGCTTAAATGTACTCTTTCAGTCATACCTGTTTTTATGACTTCTTTTTACATTTATTTCCTGATCTTTCACCGTATTTTAAAAAGAAGGTCATTGTTTTTGACAAAGAACAGTCATATCCAGATTTTTAAATTATAATGATATGTTATGACTCATATATGATAAAAACACACGAATCGTAATGGAACATTCATGGAACAATTTTGATTCTTTCCAAGACGCACAGCTTCATCTATCTTGACGAATTCTGGAGCAATTTCGCCAGTTACGATATTAAATAAACTCTCACAATGGCTTTCTGGATTTAGTGGATCAATACTCAATTGCAGCTTACTCTCAATTTCTCTTGATCTTTTGTATCTGAAAATATACGTGCTGGCATTTCTTCGTTATGGGTAGCTACATCGTTTGATGATGATTCTTCATCTTTCATTTCAGATGCGCATTTAATCAGATCGCTGCAATATGAAGACTAAATTCCCAACGAGATATTGCTGAAAGGTTCAAAGTTTTACCAAAATAGCCACCTGGCCATTACCATAACGCATAAACGTTGTTTCGATAAATATATCCGACCAAATTCCATTCCATAAACCAGGCTTATGTCCTATTACATGCTTCCCTTTCATAAATCTATCTCTAAGTTCTTCCGGAAGACGCTACACTGAGCGCAAATAATATAAACCATATCTTGCGTGGTTGAAATGCCCAGCCGCAAAAAGTAGGGCATCATAGCCTCCACTGCTCCAAGATGTAAAGACCAGTCACCCTCTTTTTCTGCACGAACAAACATCATCATGATGAACACTGGATTAATGAAATTTTATACCAAAATTTTGGTTGTCGTTCTTTTCTCTGCCTTTTCTCCCATTTACAATGTCAAGTGCTCAGAGCACTGGATATCTTTCATAACATTTTGTAAAATTTCCTTTGCAAGCATTCGCAGAGCCCGGACATTCTGAGGAAATCGTTTACCAGAAAGCTTACGGTTAACACTTGCAAAAGCCGCTTGAAGGATCTCTTTAAAACCCGTATCAGACATCAGTGATCCAACGCATCCAACAAAACCCATGAGCATATGCATTCCTCAATGTCTCGGAATGAATTTCTCGAACATATGCGGAGACGCCAAAAGGATGTTTGCCATTACTCGATATAGTTGCTGATCAAAAGTAAAGCTGTGTAATCCTGGCCAGTTTGCATAACAAGTTTCTTTGCTTCGACCATAGCAGTCATCATTGTGTTTGGATTTGAGGGAATATTGTTAATCAGGGATCGAAATACAGCTTTAGTTGCAGGATTCAATGTCTGACCTTGTTCACGCGCCAAATTTGTGTTAAATCCAGCACATTCGGGCATTGTCGAATTTGAATTAATGAGGCCATGAAAATTTTGAATTTGAATGTCGCGTGGTATGCTATCTTTCATTTCTTGTTTATTGAGACGGTGGATATTCTGTGCACTAATGCTTTGATCAGTGGATTTTGTCTGTGTCAGTAGCATTGCAAGAGCGTGTGTAGATAGCTGGCAATTCTGGGATGAAATGTAGGCATCAAAATTATCAGCCACCACCTGGACAAAATTTGGGAAGCATTTTAAATCCCCGTCACTTTACAATTGTCTAAGGCTGCCACCGCAGCAGAGGTTTTAAACCTCAAAATTTCATTATATGAGCAAGTGACTCCAAAATCATACAACTTCGATATGAGGGATTTCTCTCTCGCAAGAAGATTGCGTAAAATTTGAAGGGAAGTTGGCCGGTCAGAAAAACTGCTAGTTACTATATTGCCAATAAGTATTGTAGGTTAAGTATTAATCAACTTAATGGAGATATAGGATAACACATGCAACAACGTAGGGCTTGTGCTTTCGGCAGCAATGTTTTTATCCACAGACGTCTTGTAGTAAGTTTCATTGTCAGGTTTAAGAGTTTTACACTCTGAAACGATAC